ACAAGAGCTCAAAGTCATGCAAAGAATGATGTACTTAATGCTCATCAAGAATTTTGCATGTTTAATGTTTTTATATAAAAAAAGAGCCTAAAATAGTTAAGGTTGCTATGGAACACTCTGACTGGGTTGTCGCTATGCAATATGAATTGGCTGAATTCGAAAGAAACAAGGTTTGGAGATTGATTCCTAAACCAAAAGATGTTTCAATTGTCGGATTAATATGGATTTTCAAAAATAAAACCGACAAAGATGGAAATATTGTTCGAAGTAAAGCAAAGGTTGTAGTTAAAGGTTATTCGCAACAAGAAGGTATCGATTATGAAGAAACCTTTGCCCATGTCGCAAGACTCGAGGTTGTTCGGATATTTTTAGCCTATGCAGCTCACAAGGACTTTGATGTCTATCAAAAGGATGTTAAGTGTGCTTTTCTCAATGGTGAACTAGAAGAAATAGTTTACGTTGAACAACCTCCATGTTTCATAAATGAACAAATTCCTGATCGTGGTTATATTATAGATAAGGTTGTTTATGGGTTAAAACAAGCACCAATAGCCTGGTATGCAACTCTTATCAATTTTCTAAAACAATCAAAATTTAAACAAGGATCAATTGACCCCACATTATTTAAAAAGAAAGTTGGGAATCATCTGATGCTTGTTCAGATTTATGTTGATGATATTATTTTTCGTTCTACTGACCCTGCTTTGTCTAGAGAATTCAAAGATTTGATGAAAAGTCAGTTTGAGATTAGTTTGATGGGTAAAATTAACAATTTTCTGGGGTTAAATATTTTTCTAAATAGAGAAGGCATTTTCATCAATCAAGAAAAGTATACCAATAATTTCCTCAAAAAGTTTGGATTGACGAATAGCACGAAGCTAAGAGTACCAATGGCAGTTAGAACAAGGCTAACACCTTCGTTAGATAAACCTGTTGTTGATCTTACATTATGCATGAGTATAATAGGTTCATTGCTTTATCTATCTGCAAGTCGACCTGATATCATGTTTTCTGTATGTAATTGTGCTAGGTATCAAGCAAATCCCAGAGAACCACACTTAACTGCTGTGAAAAATATATTTCGTTATCTCAAAGGAACAATTTCGTTAGGATTGTGGTATCCTTCGAAATCAGGCTTTTTCATTCAAGCATTTTAGATGCAGATTTAGGAGGATGCAGTCTTGATCGAAAGAGTACAATTGGAGGATGTCAATTTTTAGATGGGAAGCTTATAAGTTAGCAAATCGAAAAAGAAAACATGTGTTGCAATTTCTACAGCTGAAGCTGAATATGTTGCTGCTGCTGCTTGCACTTCTCAAATCATACGGATACAGAGCCAATTGCATGACTATGCAATTAATATGAAAATATTCCACTGTATTGTGATTCGCAAAGTGCTATACACATTTGTCTTAATCCAGTACAACATTCAAAAACAAAACACATTGCACTTCGTTATCAATTCATAAAAGATCATGTGGAAAATGGGAATGTCGAACTACATTTTGTAAAGACTACTGATCAGCTTGCTGATATCTTTACAAAACCATTGGATGAAAAATCTTTTGTTAAAATCTTAACAGGGTTGGGGATGATAGCATCAAGTTCTGTTCCAGGACAAACTACGAAAGAATGACCATTTGATGTTAAGGAAAGTGTCGATTCAGTGATGCTGGTTAATCATTCAGAGGCTAATCGTATTAACCGTTCAGAGATTACTGTTCATGTTCAGCGCTTCGACACGCTTCGTTTTCGACAATTAGAAATTTTTCGTTCGTTTGGTAAATTTTCGTTAGTTTAGTAAACTTTTGTTTTTGAAATTTTCTTTATTGGTCATTTATTTTTGATATTTTTTGAAAAATAAAAAAATATTTTCATTTTTTAGATTTCTTTTTCGAAAAGTCAAAAATTCCAAAAATATTTTTTTTATTTTCGAAAATATAAAATCCAAAAAAAAAATTATTCCACATTTGGTTTTACATATTTTATGAAGAGCTTAATGATGATTATCAAGAATCATGCTTGCAGTTCTAGGGTCAGGTATTCTTTCGAAAACTTTTAACTAGATAAGTTGTCCGTAGAAGCATGCTGCAGCATGTCGGTCCAAGCCTCCATTGACTCAATGTATATTTTCAAAAGCCTTAATGAAATCTTTCATTACGAAAATTTCTTCCTAATCAGGTTGTATTCACATTAGTCCCTGAGCTACCTTAATGAAATTTTTATCCTAAATTTCTAACATAATCACACACAATGACATATGTCCAAGAGATCTTTGATCAAACCAATAAAAATTTAGACATATCAAAACTATGTGTTTAGGATCTGGATTCATGAGACGGTGATTAAATTGAAACCCAAATTATCGAAATCTTAAGGAATTGACGAGGAACTATGTTCCAGATTTTAACGAAACATTTGTTTCTGTACCAATTTTTCGATACTCCAAATCATATTCTTTCATGTTGAGTGATCTTTATCAAATGTTCGAAACCCACGATATTTGTTTCCCAACAGGATCCAACTGAAATTAATTTTTTTTTTTTGGAATATGATTTACGTGTGAGTGTCATTCATTACCTTTTTCACATTAAAAGAATTCCAAAGCATACTTGTCACTAACTACACTAGTCAAACAAGTAATTTCTGTTACAATTAATCACAATTATGTTTAGTGCTGAAATGTAACAAAATTTTTTAGACACCCACGAAACCATATAAAAGAAGCCCTTCGATACTTATTCACAAGTATTCAATTGTAATTCATGGGAAACCACAGAAGCAGGTGATTATCTCTCTTGATAATTAACAAAGCAACCTTTGCCTGGGGTTTAACTTCTTTTATGTCGAAATTTTATTCTTCGATATCACTGACCCAAAATTTTGTTTATTTTGCTTCTCACCTAATTTCGTTGGCACACTGCACTCACGAATCCTTGAGGTTCTGAGTAATACCAACTCAGGCTGAAGATTTTGAAAGTATGGCATATGAATTCCTTTATAAACCCAAAAATGAAAGAGCTCAACCTCCATGCCGAAGGTTTTCGATCTTATCCTCATGGTACTCACGAACAGTTTGATGTTGTCGTTTGCAACATGGTGTGACTTTCAAGGCACTTTAATTGACGTGGCGTTTAAAATGGCTAGTGGTGCGAGTTTCAAGGACAGATGTGGCTAAGACTTAATTAAAAACATTTGGAATTATATTGGGGATACATATAAAAGGAAAATTGTTTATCCTTTATTCTTTACGCGATCGATATTCTAATACGATTAAAAAGCCCTAATTCTCTCTGTTCTTCAAGAGTTCTCGCAAACCCTAAAACGATGGCTGCTACTCAAACTAACACCACTGAAGATGTTGCATCCCAACCGATCATGAAGATTCAAAGTACCAACCATCAAGTCGAGGCTGATGTTTCACTGTACCCTGAAGAACTCAAGATGCTGATTGTTGATCTTCAGCATTCAGGCCTTGGAACTGCTATGTTCATGCATTCGCTCTATCAATGCATTGGTTATCGATGGCTGGTTCTATTGCTACGTATAGCAAAGCATTGGATGTTGTTACCTTTAACTTGGTGAATGACAAAAGGTTCCGTCTTATGAATAAGCTATTTGCTCAAATTCTGAGATCCCAAGTTCATCTCCATTCTACAAAGTTTCTACTGCCCAAGTCATTCACATGTTCAATGAGATGGGTCATCAGCCACCACTCACCAAGATCAGTGATTTCAAGAAGTCTGGTCTTCCTTGTACCTGGAATTTTCTATTTGGGATTTACCTTCGTTGTTTAACTAGATGAAGTGTAGGACTTGACGAGGGAAGATTGGAAGTTTACGCAATGGTTGCAGGACTTTATTATGAGCTTAATGTCGACTATGCCTCTCAGATGTGGAAGGAGTTCATCAAGAGTTCTGAAAACATGAATGTTGGGCAGGGGATTTCATGTGCACGTTATTGGACTTTGATTTTTAGATTTGCTTATGAGAAGGAAGGAATTCAAGTTCCTGTTGATGAACCTACTACATAGTTTTTGAAGTATCATCCAAAGTCGGTGGGGGATGATTCTACAGTATTTCCAAACATTTCCAGGATTCCGGATGCTATACTTAAGAAGATAGATCCGTTGAACAAAGTGCTGGTGGCATATTTGAAAACTGTTAATCCAAATGTGGAAACTGGTATTCTATTGCCAAGAAGTGATGAAGGTTCTTCCAAGATGCCTACAAAGTCAAAGAAGGCTAACCTTGAAGTTGTTGTGACTGAAAGTCCTAAAAAGGTCATGGAGAAATTACCAAAGAAGAAAGTTGCTGAAACCCACACAAAAGATGATATGTCTAAATAGAAGATACAAACTGAGTCTTCGAAGGAATAACTACCTTCCAAATCAGGCTTATTCAAGAGGTTAAAGATGTTGTCTCACAAGTCACGAACCTCATTAGATGATCAATCTCCTACTATTCGCAAAGCTCAACTTAATAGGAGAGGGGTTATAGTTCGTGAAATACCTGCACCAGTCTCTCCATCCTCGAAAAAGTGAAGACATGAGGATATGGCAAAGCACATTGCCAAAAAGAGAAAGCAGAGAAAGATTATTATTCACGAAGAATCGTTTGAAAGTGAAACAGTCCCAGAAACTCCATTGGGAACAAAGTCTCCTGTTTCATCTACATCAACAACTACAGTTCTAATTCCATCTGAAGTTGTTCTTACCAAATAAGTTTTGAGGAGGTTCCAACTTCAGGCATCGTTGTCAACGTATCTGATACGGGGGCACATGTCAAGGATGTTGAAGGTTCAAAGCCAGTTGTATCTCATGCTATTGTTATTTCCTCTTCATTCGAACCAACTATAAGTATCGATGTCTCTTTACCACCTTTCATTTCGAAAGTTCAAACCACCACATCACCCACTTTCAAACAAATTTTACAACAACCATTCACACACTTTTTCAATCACAATCAAATGATCCAACAAAACCAAGTTTTGATGATGAAATGGATGGAGGAGGTTTCGGAGGACAATTTGTTGATCTTAAGTTTGATTCAGAAGAACAGAATTTTCCATATCACATGTTGATGTCTACAAAGCAATTCAAGATTCTCAACCGTAAACTTAACTATATTTTGCAATCACAACCTGATTATGGTGCAAAGAATTCAATTTCGGTAATAGAGGTTGATGTTTTACTTAAATCCTAGGAACTTAGCCTTCACAAACAAATGGATCATATGGATAAGAATAAAGAACTCAGAGTCAAAGCTCAGGCTGAAACTTTAATGGTGAACTTCGTAAGCTTAAAGATGTAGCAAAAAAATGTCATGTTCTTTTTATTAAGGATGTGAAGACTATACGTGAAGATGTTAATAGAAATCTTGATGAAGTGAAAGTTAATGTTACGAAAGAGCTTCGTACAAATTATTCTTCTCTTCAAGAAAAAGTCGATACTATTACTGTTGTAGTCACAAAGGTTGTGGAATGTTATTAACCTTTGATACCAAAGGTTGAATCGAATGCAAATGAATATGTGTTAAACTTTGAAAAGTTAGGAGTATTGCTGGGCGAAATTAAAAAGCTTGTGTTGAAGCCTGCTCAAACATCGTTTTTAACTCCTGAGTTCCTAACTCAGAAAATTCAGATTCTTGATCAAGCGATTCAAAAGGCCGTTGCTCCTATTTCTAATTTCGCAAATCTTTTACCAACTGGAGCCCCACCTGTTGCCATAGGGGTGCAACGGGGAGAAAATGAGAAAATATTTAGTAAAGATGCGAAGACAAACAAGGGAGGAAATATGAAAACAACACAATAAGGAGAGAAGGTTTCAAAAGAAGAAGTGATAAAACCTGTTGGTAAGGTATTATCAACTCAAATTCTAATACCTTTAAATCCAATAGTTTCTACAGTGATGGCTACGAAAACAACAACAAGGCCCATTACAAAGGGAATTGTTACTAGTTCAACTGATGGAGGTGGAAGTTCAAGCTCAAAGCCAAAGCCATTTGAGGGAGAAAAATGAAAAGGAAAAGGAATTGTTGTGGAGAAAACAAAGGATGAAAAGAAAGCTGAGATAGAGGCTGAGATGGAGAAACAAAGACAAATTCAAAGTGTAAAATCCGAATTTCCAAGTATATTGCTATGAGCGTAGTTCTGAGATTTATGGAGCGACTCGACGAGTTGTGAGTCCAACTCCTCGAGTAGAGTCGAGTATCCGCGTGAGTTAATGAATGGACTCGACGAGTCAGAGAACCGACCTGCCGAGTAGGTGTTGGGTAGAAAAACGCTAGATTCTTGGGGTTGGGTCCTATTTAAAGGAACTTAAGTCGCCTCATCAGCCTCCTTACTTCATGAAGGAAACCCTAAACACTTAGAGGGAGCTAAAAGGGAGAAGATACATAATTTTTGGGCATGTTGTGATCTTTTGGAGGAAGAAGGGGAGAGCATCAAATGTTAGATCAGAAGGGGGCTTTTGGATCCAGAGATTCTCTAGAGTTTTGCTTCATTTGGAGGTAAAAAGATGCTAACTTGACCATTTATTTATGAGATCTTGTTTTAGAGAGTTTTGGGGGTTTTCTTCCATCTATTTTGTGTCATTAAGTGATTGGTGCATGGAGTGTGGTTGGAACCTCAGATCTAGGCTATACGTGACCTTGTGAGTTCAAAGACTCAAGCTTTATTGAGCTGGAGGCAAGCTCTTGTGCACCTAGCCCTTGTTGGTGCATGAGTTGGCATTATGAGCCTTATATTCGATATATGAACATAAAGCTTGCAGCTTTACGTGTTATTCGAGCCTTGGGAGGATAGATCTAGAGTGTGAGGTTGTAGATCTGCTTAGGATTGCCTGAAAGAGAAATCAGATCGAAGGGACTCGTCGAGTACATGGCCTGACTCAACGAGTCAGTGAGGGTTTGTCCCGATGAGCATGATCGTGCGATAACTCGGTGAGTTGGGGGTCAACACGACGAGTTGAGCTGGACCTTCATGAGACTTCTGAGGAAATGGGTGGAATTGATGAGTCACATAGGTGCACTCGGCGAGTTTGGTCAATCATGGACTGTTGACTTGAGTTTGACTTTTGTTGACTTTGGATTTTTGGTCAACGTGAGAAATAGAGACCATGGAGGGGTAAATGGTCTTTTATCCACTTTAAGGTGTTAGAGAGAGAAAGATTAGCATTCGGTTACTTGAGTCACGAAAGAGTATTAATTAGAGATATCCATCCTTTGTGTTAGGCGGAGGCTAGTTCGAGATCCAAGCGCGAGGTTATTGCTCACCTGCTTGCGAGGTGAGTCTTCTCACTATACATTACCTAGAGTGGTATCTATGAGTAGGCCGGTGGGTCTTTTGTGTTATGTGTTTACTAGAGATTATAGCATTGTGATTTATGTATGCTATTTGACATTTAGACCGGATCAGAGGGTCCAACGACTTACGAGGCCAGAGGGTCCTCATCCAAAATGGACCGGAGGGTCCAACGATTTAGACCGGACCATAGGGTCTAACGAGCTAGACCGGATCGGAGGGTCCAACGAGCTACGGGGCTGGAGGGTCCCGCTGAGACACATTGACTGGAGGGTTTTACCAAGTTATAGCTTTGAGTGGCTTATGTGTTGTATGTGGTATTTTGGGGAACTCACTAAGATTTGTTCTTACCGTGTTATGTGATATGTGTTTCAGGTTGTTCTCGGGATCACGGGAAGGCACTAGCTTGATTGTACACACCAGTGGAATAGTTACGTTTTGAGGATCCTAGATTTTAACCGAGCAATTATGGAGTCTTGAATTGCAAACTTAATAAATGAGACTTTTGTGAAATACATTATGAGTATTATGTGATTTTTAAATGAAAATTTTGTTTTGAAAATTTAACATGCTACAAGTTGGTATCAGTGCCTTGGTTTGAGGGATTTGGGTGCACCTCCGGGTGGCCTGATTTGTGATGCCTTAGCCTAGGAGTTGTTGTTATCTATGATGTGCTTTCGAGTATGTACTGAGTAAGAGTATCCAGCAGGAATCCTTTTAGATGAGGATTTGAGTAGAGGAGTAATCTAGGACAGATACCTAGATGAGCATTTGTGGGGCCTTTGCAGAGAGTAGTTACATACCCGTGAGGGGTAGAGTTGCTGAGTTCGGTGATATCTTTTGAGTATGAGTAGAGCAAGTGGAGTTATCACCTAGAGTGGGTTTTACATGCTTATTCGATGCCCAAATGATGCTTTCTTCGTGCTTTGTGGAACTCCCAAGGATGGGATTTAGCTACCAAGTGAATGTGATGATATTCTGGAGGTAGATGACTGGCATCATAAGGAGTTTCTCAGCAGATGATGGCGGAGAAGTGTGAGAACCTAGGAAGAACCTAGAAAGTGACCTTAGTTAGATGAGTACGGTGACGGATTAGAGTATTCGCTGGAGGGCGAACTTGCGTATCGAGAATGGTGATCAAGAAGGTTGAACAACTACCTAGGAAATCTGGGACGATCTGTGTGGAAAGTATGGGTAGATGTGGCAGGTAGTATGGGCCCGTACTACTGAAAGCAAATGACCCATACTCGAAACAGGGATAATTCTAGGAGCTCTAAGCAGCGGATTGATAAGAGGGAACATGGTTCGAGTACCATGATCCATAGCAAATTGAGAAGAGACAACATGGTTCGAGTACCATGATCACAGCAGATTGAGAAGAGGAAACAACGTTCGAGTACCATGATCTATAGCGGATTAAGAAGAGAGAACACGGTTCGAGTACCATGATTCGTAGCGGATTGAGAGTAGGTATTATGGTTCGGGTACCATGATTCATAGCAGATCGAGATGTGGCCACATGATTCGAGTACCATGACTCGTGGCGGTTAGTGCTTCTGGTTTACCAGTTATTCTGTTGTAATTTTTTAGACTGAGAACCAATGTGATATAGTGTGGGGCCAGAGGGCCATGTTGAACGCGTTTCAGTGGAACCTACTTTCAGGAGGAACTTGAGTTAGTTTCGAGAGATTTTGCTGGTGAGGCGCCAGTTGGAGTCGCAACGAGGACTCTGGTCTGAGTTGTGCAGTCAGCCGGTAGATGAGGTGTCATGAATGGTGACAAGAGTTGCGCTTTTTTCATTTCCTGTTAGAAACGAATGAGATAAAGAACTTTTGGTTTCAGAGTTGGAGGTAAAACCTGTGGGGTAACCTATGGTTGTGATCTTTTCACCAGAGTATTTGAGCAGCATGTCTACTGCGTAGTATGTCCCATTCCATGAGAGAGTTATTAATGGTGATTGAGATGTAATAGAACAAGGAAGTACCTTCCTGGGTGAGGCATACTTTTTAGCAGTAGTGCCAGGTGATTTCGAGGAGTATACCGGGGCGGTGGCCACCATTGCTTATGTTGTGTTTCGGTTGTGAGAGCGGAGTCTCCTATTTCTATGATGATCTACATGATGGGACGTTAGAGGAAGGATTGGAGATGAGAAGTGTGATAGTGCATTATTTCCAGATTGAGAGACGGGACTAACTCGGGAGAATTAGGATATCCGGCGGTGTGTAGGTCTGAGATTTCGAGATGGCTGGATACAGTCGCGTGAGGAGGTTTATGGGATTTGTGGATTTCGAGATTAGTGGAGTTATGTGGTTATTATCCGGAAGATCATCGAGCGCTGTGTGGTATATTCCATAACACGGAATTGGTGCATCTGGAATGCCAGTCTGTGGAGTAGACTGTGGTATACCAAATGGGGATGGTTCGAACCCTGAGTAGGGGAGAACTGCATTACTTACTGAGAAATCAGATAATTGTTCTAGTGCGGTTACGGAACTGGACATGGAGACCTGCGGTGCGGATTCATGAGATCATGGTTATTGGTGATCAAGGCGAGGTGCAGGGCGAGATAATGCGTGTTGTACATGCTTAGGGAAGGAGGAGTGTTCCCACAACGAGTAGCTGTCGGGTAGGCACCTTAGGGTGATGAGAGACTCTTCAAGGTTGTAATGGTCGAATTCGAGGTGGTTGGCTCGTAAGGATAGTTACGACGGTTGAGAATTTCTAGTTTGATGTCTGGGTTGTTATGTTCACTTTGGGAAGAGCATAAGTTGTTGGGCAACCAACTTCGGATTCGGTATGAATATTCTTGCATAGGTTTGAGTACCAGGGGAGGGAGATTCGGATCGTCGACAACGTGTTCTGAGTCATTGAAGATTTCCACGTGTTTCAAGTTGAGGGTGGAATTCTCGAAGTTAACATGTGTGAGAAGAAGATCAGTTATGAGATTCTGACAGGGTGCATTGCGGTATCTGGGTATGATGCCGTGAGTAGGATATCAGTGGTGGAGGCAAGACATCATGAGATTCTGTGATGGTCTGACGAGACATCCGAGTATGATGACCTAAATTTCGGATTAATTCGAGACTTGAGTTATGAGATGACGAGTGGTGTATGAAGTGTCTATGGTTTCGTTGGGGGCCCTTCAGCTAATTGACATAAACGGGATTATCTGAGAATGTGAATTACAGCGAGAAAAAGAGGTTTTGTCATGGCGGTGGTCAGCCGAAGTAGTGATGATTAGCCTGGATGGGTGTGTGCACCTATCTATGTTGGGCCGTGGAGAATGAGTGAGTGAATGCAGGGTGGCGTCGAATTGAGGATGAGATCGTGGGGTGATAAGAGAAAGCACGGTAAGACTACAGGGAGCTGTAGCATCCATGAGTTAGTGCGAAAGGGTGTTGTGATACTACGGGGAGCCGTAGTACTCACTAGTCATAGAAAGGGTGTTGTGATACTGTGGGGAGCTGTAGTACTCACTAGTTAGAGAAAGGGTGTTGTGATACTGCGGGG